TTGAAAATCCTGACGATGAAATAAATTCTATCGAAACGTCGACTCCCTAAAAACCGTTTGCTCCTCGTTGATCTATTAGTTTCGACCAATTAGAGGGCTTAACTGAATTTGCGAGACCCCGTTTCATCAGTTCGCAGCATCTTCATTTAGGATGAACCGCGCAACATAAATTTGAATCCCGTTAGATTGTGGCAATTTATTCAAACCTCGCAGACTACGCCGCCCATCCCTCAAATATATCTTTTCCTTTTACCGGTCTGTTATATAAACGTGTTTCTAAGTGATATTTCACCCTGTCCTGTCACCACAAATTTAATTTTTTAAGTGGATAATATATCATTTCCCTTTACCTCCAGTTGTACGGGGAATTCCTCCCTTTTATAATAACACGCACTTTTGCTTTCATTGTGCGCTTTTTAGTCAGACCAAACAAAAAAAAACTGTACCGCACAAAGATATTGTTCGTACTCGCTGTGGCGATCTTTTTTCGCCTATTAAAAAGCAAAATGTGTTGTCCATTACTACGAGCATTTTGTTCTCATAAAAAAAAAGGTTTCTCATATAACCTAAAATTTTAGTGTGAGTGTAAATTGGTATAAAAGTTTTATAGTACCTACGAATCAGTAGGTCACCATCTGTCAGCAGGTACAAAGATATTGATATGTAACGTTCGCCATACTCTCCAAAGAGGAACATTCTCCTGGTACTTACTTCTGAACAGTCTTCAATTATCTGCAAAATGTTTTCTTGCTCAATCAAAATTTGCAATTCAGGACGTTCATAGTTAGTTGACATTGTTGGAAATAAGCCATGCGTTCGCAAATGTCAAAGTACAGAATCAAATGTTTGACGATCTGGCACTCTTTTGTTTAGAAATAGTCGTTGATACTCTCTATGGGCAGCTCACGAATTTCCATCAAAAAATCCATAAATGTAAACTATGTCGATAATGTCAAAGTACAGAAACTGACGTTTATAAATTTTAACATGCCAACTGTCACTTGTTTTATTAACTGACATGTCCACAGCTAGCGATATTGATATTAAAACATTATTCCTAAACTTTAAAGGTCCATAGCTCGGTAACCATGGAGAATTGAACCTATGTGTACTTTTTTATTCAGGACGACCTCGAGGACTTGCTCCTTGAGTTTGTCTAATATGTCATGCAACGCCCTGTATGGCACTCAAGAACAATACACTCAATATTTTAGAATTGTCTTTTTATTTTAAATCAATCAACAAAAATTGGTTCGGAATGGCATGTGGTGTTGATGAATCGCTAAATAAAACTGCCAAATTCATAATTTAAAAAATGATTGAGGGGTTATTAAGCTTTTCCCGCGATATATTTTCTCATATGCGATAAAAGTTGCCAAAGCTTGAGGCGGATGCTTTTGCTAGGTAATTTATTATACGCAACTAATAAGACCGTTCTTCTAAGTAAACAATACCTATCTATATAAAGTCTAGTATTAAATAACGAACTATAGTTCCAGTTTTTTCTGTATTTATATTTTTTCAATTTGGTCTTTTATCATTGACGAACGAAATATTTTTGAATGAAATCATCATGAAATCCTGTATTATCGTAAAAATTAAGGAGAATAGGTTACTTTTTTGTTAAAGTCGCGCCCAAATAAGGATATTCAAAATTCAAAAAAAGGAGAAATTTAAGATAATAAAAATTTGCGAACACGGTCATCATACGAGTATGATATCTCTAGTTACAGAAACAAAGATATAAACAAATTTAAACTGTTTTTTCTATTCGGTTGGTTTTTCATTGTGGGATTTTTTATTATTCTTAAAAATAAACGAGGAATAAATGATGACATCTAACCCTTGCAATTATTTCAGGAAGCTTATTCCAAATTGGAGCAGAAAATGTATATTATAAAAGACATTCCATCAGATCTCTCTATCAAGAAGAGATGAGGAAATATTTTTACGACGAGGTCGCGTAAAAATAAGATATCGGGATGAATTATTCATCATCGGCTTAGAATACTTCCATATCAGTTACAAAATGAAAAAATATAAAATAAAAATGCCGATCTATCTCGTACACAATAATACAAGAATTGTAACTCAGCGTATAGGATAACAATAAGCCGCCCCTTTTCCCGCACAAGTTTTTAACATTATTGCTGTTATTTAATATATGTAATAGTATATGTACATTTCAACAATGTTTTTAATATAATAGAAACTAAAAAAACTTCTCTCCAGACAAGTCAAATACATGGAAATTTTCCACGAGCGATTTTGCGAGGCTTCTAAGAAAGTTGAAATTTGTTTTTAACAAAAAACTGTATCCGCAGGGTTGCTTGGAACATTCTATTATCTGTTCCTTTTTTTCGAATATGGAAAGATAGGTAAACTTGGTAACGGCGCGTATGGAAAGGTACGAAAATTAGATATCAACTTTTATTGCTTACGTGTCCAGAAATAATTGGCCGCTGTGGAGTTATCGAACTTTATTTAATAGCCCTTAAGCGAGAAAGAATAATGAAAAGGCTTACTTAACGGGTCAGGGGAGAAGTTTGGAAACATTCGATACTCGTATTAGTCTGTAAATCTCCGACTTTATTAATTTGATTGAAAAATTGAGTTCTGTATCACTATATCAACACTGGACAAACTTGGAGAGTGTTGATTTAGTGATACAGGATCCGATATTTTCGGATTCGTCTTCGTCAAAAAGTGTTCTTCAAGACAACCCTTGGTTTTATATTTCAATTATTCCACGAAATTTTAATAGGCATGCTATTTTTTTCGTGGTTTTTATGGCGAACCAACACTGTCTTTATTTTTATTACATTCACGGAGTGAATGAATTAGAGGCACGTCATTTTCACTACATCATTTAGCTTTCACAATTATATTTTTAATTTAGAGATTAAGAGCTCGCAGCGTCAAGGAATTCGATTCTCGTCTCATAAAGTAGTCATAAAACGTGTGACCTACATACTCCACAATAAATTTTTCGCAGGACGCAGGGCCATAGTAATAAAATACATAGTTTTTCCCTTGGCGATATTGTTATGAGTGAATTAATATCGGTCATGTTCCTTAAAACCCAAATGCCGCTGTTGTAGAGAAGTTTGTCGTGGGTATCAAAAATTTCCGGGTATTTTCGTATATTACAATTGTATTTGGTGTAAAATTTGCCATATGTTTTATATTCTTCATTTGATATCGTTAATATTTATTAGTTTGTTGTTTGTTTTACCACCAAAAACCGAATGTTAGCATAAATAGATACCGTAACGAAAGACAACGAGTTACATCTACTAATATCATCGAAAACAATTTGTGCAGCCCCCGTATATATTTTCCGAGAGAGAGCTTTTGCCTCCGAATCCCGACCGGTCTGATGGAAATGGCGATGTCACATTTGAGTTTATTAATTCTTAACCCGACATGAATTAACCCATTTATTCACTTCAATACGAGTTAGTTTGACAAGGTTTGATTAATTTCGACTTTCTCATCATAATATAAATGATTAATGGGAACTGTTGCTACCCCGTTCCGGTTCTGGTACATTAACAAACTACAATAAATAGTGGTGGAACAGATTTGCTCTTGTCCAGGAATAATGGAATTATTGTAATGCCCATGTAAACTATTCATACGCGTATTTAATAAATTGTTTGATTTGGTTCGGAGCGGTATCGGAAATTACCCCCAAACGGTGGAAATAACAGATTAAGGGATGTTTAATCGTATCAGTATTAAAGTAGACAGTAGCGTCAATATTTTTATTAGCAATGTTTTATATGCGCTGCAGACGGCGCACAAGGAAATGTACTATCTGAAAATAATTATTTAAGCTTACAAAAGAATGTTAAACAAACCCAAAGGACTAAAACAGAATTTTTATGGATCTTTTTTAAACCCTCAGATTTTACGGTAAACCTACCCTATATCCATCTTGTAACATTGGTCTTGTAAGCTATGCTGCCTTATAATGCTCAAAGGACTTTCATTAACCATTATTTTGAAGTTACCAAAGCTTTATCCTCATCTTAAGCATGATATTACTGTTTGTTGGAAGGAAATTTTATATACTTCAACCAAATAAGAATATATGCACAACAAATTAATACGGTATCGTCAAAAAGCTGCATAAGAAGTAATTTACTCTGTTGCTAAACTGACACTTTTCAAGTCACCAACTTTGTTTCAACAGGAAGTGTCGTAATTGTAATATATTTCAGCAGATATCTAAAATAAATATATCAATATTCGTATAATTATCAAAAGGCCAGTCGTTTGCTTTTTTTACAAAAGATTTGGATTAAACTATGCAAAGTCGTATGGCGCCGATTGTAACAAGTACTTATATTGGTGTTAATTGTAACATTGCTACAATTTACATTTATATTTGAATTTAAATTTAATACAGTTAAAAACTAATAGAACGCCCAAAATTAGTTGTAAACCAGTCAATAAGATGTTCAATAATTACCAGGAAAGCTATTTGAATATGCTTAGCTTTAATCACGTAGCAAACATAATTATTTCGTTTTCATTAACTGCGATTAGCTCTAAATTTCTAAAATATTTTTATAATTTTACTTGTATTTACAGTTTTGTAATATATTATATCTCACATGTAGTTTTAACAAAAATATTATTCTAAAATAAGGTATGGATATATTTTACAGCCTGTTACAATTACCTCTAGTTTGTTACAATTCACACAAAAGTTATTTGTAACAACTGGGCACTTGTTTTCGTTAAATATATTTACAGGCATATAGGAGACAATATTTCAACACTCTAGGCTCCAAAATGATGCAGTGTAACTTTCATTTGTTACAATAGACGCCGTTAGTTTAGGTACAATTTCTCGTTTACACCGTTAACATTACTTTGGAACATACATCTCGATCTAAAGGGTAGTTTAGAGCTTACGACAACGCTTCAACGCTTATAAAGCATGGGAACCGAGCGACCGACACCATCCACTAACGTCAGTCTGTTTGCAGAACCCTCGCCGTTGTACGACAATAACCACTACCACGAGGAATGCCTCCGCTGCAATTCATGCGGTCTCAATCTGACTGGGCCCAACCAGAAGCGCGCCAGGCGCTTCAAGAACCAGATTCTTTGCGACCTCCACTTCGCTGACGTTGCTCTCATGGAGTGCTCGGATTTCATGCAGCAGCTGCGGTCCTTCAAGCCACAGTCCCTCGGATGCGCCGTAGCCAGAAGGAAGTCGTCGACAACGCTTATTTTTCCGCTACCGCCTCAGGCCTGCTCGGGTAAGTCGTTTATGTAGAGAATGTTGTTTTGGGGGGTTGCTCGGGGAATGGGCGCCATCTCCATGGGATAGACAGGTGCGTCAGCAGATGTTGATGGAGGTGCTGGAGAAAATGTAGGTCTTGCTTACTTGGTGCTCTTGCCTGGCTCATTTCGCCCTCCTAGATATCAATAAAGTTCAATAAAACAAAAAAAAATAAACTAAAATTTTGCTATTTTTATTCGACTAAGTAATTCCAGTCAACAAAGGCAATGAGACATAATGATTTAAAGTGGGTCGAAGGGCTAATTTCCTTTGTTTTCTATAGAGAGGTGTTTTTCAGGAGGTATAGCGGGGTCCGAGGGAAGTGAGGAGCGCAGGGGGGGTCCTATGCTTTTCTTATGGGACTAAAGCCCGCTGCCAATTTGAAAAAAATAAATTCTATTGAAATTATTTGCGATAAACATTATCTATATAGCAAAGAAATCTACTCATATGTACAAAGCATACATATTGACATATTAACATAAAAATATCATATTTAAGTAGTTTTAAATTATATTTAATGAACGCATGTAGATGTGGCAACAGCGCTAATAATTGACTAGCAGTTGTACACACTGCGAACCTACAGACCTCGGACATCGGAGATATTTCAAATTCGGGTAAAAAAGCGTACGCGTTCAAAAATGTATTGTGTGTAAACTATGTACAATATAATTATTATATATAGCAAATATATCGTATTATCCTCGCGAAGATTTGTATCCTTTATTTAAAATCCGTAAATCATGTGAACTGGTAAAACAACGAGAATTATGTTAATTTAGTTCTAAAGAAATGAAATGACACTCGCGCCCATCTCTCGTCCAAGTCAAAGAAAATGTTGGATGCAATTTTGAAGGTTCTGTGATAGAAATTACATTATTACTCACTGTTCGTGTTTTTAATCTCTATTTGAGTAATGTTACAAATGTTTTGCAACTATAACTAATTTTTTAGATATAAAGTTTGCTGAGAAATATTTATGTTCCTTTGTTATTCCGTACAAATGCTTTTATCTCAAGTATTATTAATTATATTAATCAAGTAAAGAAAACTTTATGTAACCCTAAATATTGCTGGGTACGGATTACGATGTTTTTATAAACCATTAAATATATTAAAAGGATTTATCAACTTTATTTTTTATTCCAATACATATATCACAGCTTCCTAGTCTTTTTTAATTAATCTAGTTTTTTAAAAACATTACAAAAAATCATCTGTTGTGGATAATTTACTGTTGATAACAATGTACATGGGATTTAGGAAAAATATATATGTTTGAAATCAATTTCGTTTTTATCAAGTCTTCAAATGTATTCCCTCCTTACTGTCAGCTGATTGCGACGTTGCCACATTAATCCTCAAGTCAGACAGGAATGCAATTATTGGTTTCTGTTTCTAATTAATACAGCTGTACTATGTTCAAAACTTACATTAGTTTTACATCAAAAATAAGATAATACTGTGTACTATCTATGGAAAAGTTTTGTTTCACAATTTCTAAATTTTTTTCTCAGTTATGGGCAAAAAAAGAGCCGCACCGTCCATCTTCGCCATATAAACCTTTGTTAAAATGAACAACTTTCAACAACAATATCTCAAAATCTAGATTCAAAAAAAATTTCAAAAAAATATGACGCACAGAGGGAGCACTGGGTAATACGCTATATAAATTTCAAGTACATCTGTGCATTTAAGTAAATCCGATACACCTCCTTAAGTCAAATTTACGTGATTTTCTTGTAAGAATGTATTCTGTCAGTTCAAGGATCAGACCCCAGGCAGAAAAGATACAAACTGAAACATTTCGGGAGAAATATCCTCTCGATATGCACATATTACAGCGTTTAATAATTATCTAATATTTGCGCTGAGGAGTATAGTCCACTGTTTTAAAAATAGCATATTTACGTTGGATTCCATAAAACACAGTTTGAGGCGAAAAAATAAACCCACCGACGTACGCAATATCTATCAGAAGCAAGACTGGCGTTAGTAAAGTGATGTGCTGGAAACATAAACAAATATCGGATATAAAAAAATGAGCTCGGGAATGATGGACATGTCAAAACCAGCGGCAAAACAAATGTACTTAAAAATATACACAATGCCCGGTAGAATGTCGAACGCGTATGTTAATATTCGCCTCTAAAAAAATTAATGCTACACCGAAAAAATAACTTAACATAGTTCGTCTTAACATGTTTTTTTTGTCGTTTAAGACATTACTATTTGTTCCATAGCCTTTTGTTAAAGATTTCTGAAATTGTAGGGAGTGACTCATTCTCAACATGTACAACTTTTGTTATAGAACTGTATATTTCTCTGATAAACATTGTTTATCATACAATGTTCTTGATCTGTTAGCACATCTAAAATAAATAATAGAACTGAATTGTCGAAATAATAACACGTCTTTCCTACTTGCATGCATATGACTCGGAGAGAAACGCCTAAGCTGGAAACTGGCAAATCGGAAAGTGAAACAATGTAGCGCTGGTCGTCTCTCTTTTTGTGCTCTAGAAGCAAAGACAGAAATGGCGTCTTGTAATAATAAAAACTCTGGTATAGCAACTCATCAATAGTTCTTCAGAGCTTCGATGTGTTATACCCATCAGTATCAATAACGGTACATTCTCATCTTCCCTTTTGATATCAATTTACTCCTTTGCATATAATGCCAAGGGATATTTTAAAGTTATATGCAACAGCAACAGAGTGCAACGTATTATCTCGAAAGTACTTCGTATATTCAAGTACACTTACCTTGTCTCTTGTGCTCTGGTAACTTATCGATCTAGTCAATACCAGTAGTGGATTCCTAGATAAGAGGTAGCTCTTACTAGCAAAACATTATTTTTTTTGTTTCTTGCCGTGCTTCCGTTTATTTCGAACTATTGATTAATGAAATTGGTTTTGTATTGCAAAACTCATGGAATTTAACCCTCGTCTCAATCTATAATATAATCCAGGGGCCTACTCTTAAATATTCCAAGTGGAAAGGGTTATAGCACGAAACAAACTCATTAATTTTTATATTCGAAGGCTCTTCTTCGCCATAAGTATCTAAACTGCGATGCAGCGCGCGCCTAGGGTAATTAATAACATCATTTAATCACTATTACCCACCTAAATAAAGAAATAAGTGAAGATAAATGCTAAAGAAAAATTATCCCCGTAATTAACTTCTAAAAATAATCCAACTCTCCTGTAAACGAATTAAATGCTTTGCGAATTAGCTATATATCTCTTAAGATTTCCTCCCTGTTTTAGAACTGTAACCAACGTTCTGGAGCTTGAGTGACAAATTCGCGAAAGATGTACAGCGTTTGCTTAAAAGTGTAAGTGTAAGTGTAAGCATTAATCAAATTGTCGAAAATACATGTAGTTCGTTACGTAGAATCGAAAGTTTACTTTCAGCCCTGAGGTCGTGGCGATATTTCGAAAAATAGTACATTGTGTAACGAGTGGGGAAAAGTTGCCAATAGCGCCACGCGGACGCAGTTGACGCACGAGCGAAGCGAGTGCGGAAAGCGCCCAAGTGGCGCTATGACAACTTTTCCGAACGAGTTGCACATACTATTTTCTATCACAAGTGCGAGTCGTTATGGGACCTACAGCATAGGGGACCAACGCTGGAGCGTTGCACTATGAAAATAACATCACGCTGTTGTACCATCTAGCACTTTCCCGTGCACCTAACCCCCTACACTATAGTTCCCATAGCAAGCTCGCGTGATAGAAAAAAATTTTTTTCGGCTCTTGTCGGTCGTAGGAGAGACTTTTTTTTAAATTCGTGAATAAATGTCAACTTTCAAATGGCAGTATCGTCATTTTGATACGAATTGAAATCAAAAAGTTAATCAAATTTTTATGGCCTCGAAAAATACGATTTTTCGATTGTTTTGTGCGATATTTGAAATCGATTTGAGGCTCGCGCAATGTTTGCACATGATAGTGTAATTATTACAGAAAATTTTAAGTCTAACCCCGTTTCTAAAGATGTGGCGGACTATGAATTGTGGGGATTTTTACAAAAATGTTTTTTTTTTTCGAAAAACTCGATTTTTGCAAAAACTATAAAATATATTTCAATTTTGAAAAAATCATTTTATTTTGTTCAGAATGAGCTATCCTTTCACCAAATTTCATGAAAAAATATTTATTTTTGAAAGAGATACAGCTATTTGAAAAAATTGCGATTTTTAGCGGTTTTTTGCAATAACTACAACTTTTGTTTGAAACATTTTCTTCTAAAATGTTTAGTTTTTTTTATAAATAAAAATATATATTTTTTGTGAACTTTGGACACCATTTTGAAAATGAAGCCCAAAGCTTCAGGTGAGGTAAAGTAAATAGTTCATTGAATTCTACGGAATTTTTCCTAAATTTTACATATTTACTGAACTATTTTTTGCCACCTGAAAAAGTGATTTGATTGGACTTAATGTAGAATTGTTTCATTTGTTCTGAAGTCGAAGATTTTGCTTTTTTGGTAAAATATTCGTCATACTTAATTTTCAAAAATGCGTGTAATTTCAGATACGTCGATTATAACATTGAGTAAATAGACTATAAGGTACATCTGTTTAATTTTTATTTCAAAGTGTACCGGCATCAATTTTTCAAAAAATAATTAGTATACTTCTTTCTCCAGTCCATAAATTTTTGTAATAAATGTAATTTGTAATGTAATATTTCTTTTTTGAAATTTTTGGCAGAAAATAAATTTACCTGCTCTCTAATTTCAACATACCAACTGAAGTTGTTGACTTTTATACAGGGTAATTCACAAATGGTGACCAAAAATGAAACCTCCCACTTTTTCTCAAAATCCGTAAATACTCTATTTTTAGAGGCCCTGACGTTTTTTAGCCTTTCCGGAAGTCGTTTTCTAGAAATAGGTCGTCGTAATTTCTAAAGCGTTTGTCATAGACACTTTCCAAGAACAATGTAACAAATTATTGGTTAAAT